CTCCCTCATGAGGAAGAAACCTTTGGCAGAACCAGGCTCAGGACAAGTGGCCATCTGCTTTGACCGGCTGGGTATGAGAGGAACAGGAAGGAGGAACAGATACACAATGGCAGGTCAAGAATCACGTTAAGATAGAAATAGTACCAAATGGAAAACTATTCAATTTTAACAATTTATTTAAGGTAATTTGCCCTCCAGTAGTCTAAGCCTATAGCAGCATAACAAGCCAACCCTAATTATAGGATCTATTAAAAAGAAACATCTTCAGAGTCAGAGTCAGAGTCAGAGTTTCTTTATTGTCATTCGCACCTCATGTGGTACATGTGGTGGAACGAAATTATGTACACAGGGTCCCAGTTACATCCAACAATAAAATGTATAAGAAAAACAGTAATAACATCTAAGATATGAACTAAGAAAAACATCAACTAAATATACACTAAGCACTCATAACATAAAACATTGAACATCAGCACAAACATGAACATGAGTCTGTGAGCAGATGTGCACGCATGAACACATCAACAATGAAACAGATCAGCAGCAACATGAAACAGATCAGCAGCAACATGATATGGTTTTTCACAGTGATTATTCTAGTTAGAGATTCATGAGTCTAACAGCCTCAGGGTAGAAGCTGTTCCTCAGTCTAGTGGTTCTACACTTAATGCTCCTTAACCTCCTTCCTGAGGGGAGTGGGGCAAAAAGTGTGTGTGCTGGGTGGGTGGGGTCCTTCATGATGCAGGTGGCCCTCTTCCTGCATCTGGAGGTGTAGATGTCTGTGATGGTGGGGAGGCTGATTCCGACAGATTTCTGTGCAGCCTTCACCACTCTCTGCAAAGCTTTTCTTTCTGCAGCTGTGCAGCCTCCATGCCACACATTGATGCTCGAGCACAGGATGCTCTCCACTGCACACCTGTAGAAGGAGGTGAGGACTGAGCTTCCCAGACCAGCTCGCCTCAGCCGTCTGAGGAAGTAGAGTCTCTGATGAGCTTTCTTGATCAGGCTGGTGGTGTTGTTGCTCCAGCTGAGGTTGTCATTCATGTGTACACCCAAGTACTTGTAGCTGGAGACCACTTCCACCGCAGATCCTCTTATGTTCAGGGGGG